ACAAGACAGATAAAAACTTTATAAGATTTATATATATCTTTTCCATATGGGAAACCAATGGGTGACGTCCTAGTGGCTATGCCAGTCTTTTTATATGCTGCTACAGTGGCAATGCACTTAATTTACAAGTTAGGGATAGTCCAGTTTGAGACCCTAAATATGTATTGTTTTAAATGTCCATTAGCAAAACACTGAACGCTTACAGTCTGACTTCAATACCAATTTGACATTTTCTTACAAAAACAGTAACTATAAATGTTCACCTAAACTACAAAGAAATCCTTTGTTATAATCCAGCTACTGGTATACAGCTACGATGATCATATCTGACTAAGCTTGCAGAGATAATTATCTCTGAGATGTTTTTTTTTCTTTTAACAACAAAAACAAAATTCCACCGGTCCCTTTGGTGCTGGAACAGTGGCTGAGGTATCAGACGCAGACGCCTGAAAACCAAAAAATCCAAACTGTCTGCAGGACTACAGAGGATAAAAATAAGTCTTTAACTTGGAGGATCCAGCTGGGGTTTACTGTTATTGTTTTTTAAAATGCAAACTTCATATCTTCTTTAGGAGTGTAGACCTTTACTTTGGGGGAATCAACCAACAAACTAAACGTAGAGAACCACAGGGAAAATAAATCAGAGGATGAAAGGGTGGAGGGGGTTGTCTTCCGGCAGCAGTGTGTGGTATGTGGCTTGGAGGTGTTGGCCACTGAGACTGTGCCACATCCATTTAACTCAGGCCGGCTCCTCCCAGCTTCACACTGCCTGGACCTGAGAAGGGGAAAGGAGGTCTGTGACAGTTCAGGCTGAATTACAGGGTGCAAAAGTTGACAGATTTACAGACATAAGAAGAATCATGTGTCAGTGAATCTCTGAATAGAACTGTAAGTAAGGCTACGTCCACACTAGCTTTGAAAATGGCCTTTTCATCTGAAAACACTCCGCGTCCACACTAGTGTTTTCAGTCGTTTTCACAGAGTTGTGCATCCACATTGAAAGGGCCGAAAACGCTTAAGTTCCATTACTGCACATGCGTGAAACACAAGAAGATTCAACCTGCCTCATTTCTGTCTGCCATTTACTTTCCAGCTCAATGAAACGTTGCAGCAAAATGTCGAGGAAAAGCTCCAAGTTTTTTGCAAAAGTGAGTGAGAATTAAAGAATTTGAAAAAAAGCTATCTGAAGCATGTACAAACTGATATTAATCTTTAATAGGGCTGTCAAAATTGAGAGCAAACAAAACAACTCCGCTATCTTAGTTTAATTGGTCACATGACTGCATCACATGACTAAAATGCGTCATCGTTTTCGAAAGTCTCCGTTTTCGCTGTCCGCACTGTGATGCGAAAGCACAGTCTTCAAATGTATTCGTTTTCGAGAGCATTTCCCTTCGGGGAAAGTGTGGATGGGAGGCCAAAACGGAGAGAAAACGATGCGTTCAAAAGCATCAGTGTGAACGTAGCCTCAGTAAAGAGTTTTCTGTTGATTTGTTTTGTTTTTCTCTTTTACATTTTAGGAAGTTGTAAGTCCAGAAGAAATGACCACCTCTCGCTCAAACCATCCTGACACTGAGTTTGAGGGTATGGGGGATTATGAGGAGTCCCTCCTGGCTGATTGGTGGCAGGAACCCAAAACTAAGTGGGACACTGGAGAAGTCATAGACTGACATCTGTCTTTATCTTCAAGCAGAACACTTTCACGTCCAACTCTGTCCCACCTCCCATGAAAACATGCCCAAAAAATGCTGAACCAGCTACAGACAAACATCTAGATTCCTATCAGTATTATGCACAAAAAACAAAAACACAGAGCCCCCCTGGTGATTGATTGTGGGGATTTCTTTTTTTCTGTTTTTTTGACAAGATTAAAATTCACAGCCTTGTTAGTGCATGCACAGCCATGAGTAAATGACGTTTGTGAGGTGAGAACAAATCGGTAACAAAATAGAAAGCTTTTGTTATCAGGGAAAAATCATGAATATATTTGGATTTTTGCACTTTGTTATGTGAGCTTTTTCTCTCCCCCTAATCTCCCAGAGTGAGAAGCACCCTGTGTGTTTAGGGCCCTCTTACTGCATAATATCAAATTTCATCCAAGTTACATTAACTCAAACCATGCTTCTTGTCATGGTTTATCTTACCAGGGGGCTCCTGTTTTAATTTTAACTTAGTTGGTTATTAAATGGACACAATTACCCATCATGATGATCAGTATGAAAGACTAATCAATCATTGGCCTCAATGCTGATATTTGCCAATGACTTTTCTACAGTTTTTATTTACTGTTATTTAATGAAAGTTGTGAGGTGTGATATAACAATGCTGACATGGGGCTTTTATGTTGTTATTTGTCATCCACCAATAAGATATTGGTAATAAGATGCTTTTAATTAAAATAATTTAATGTATTCTTTTTGATTGGAATCATACATTTTTTAAAAATAACTACTTTAATAAGCTCAAATATACTTGCATTGTAAAAACTATTTTGATTACATTACTACTCTAATCAATTTATTATGGAACCAAGTTTGATTAATATGGTGAAGATGTTTGATAAATTAAATTTAAGGTTTAAAAATAATGTTTTTATATTGCAAATGTATTTGACGCTTGATTTAAAAAAAAAAAAAGAAAAAAAAAGAATGTAGAGGTCGACCTGGTCTCTTGAAAAAATGTAAGCATCCAGTTTATATTATAACATGGGATTTACCCTATAAAAAGGCAGTTAATCTTATTTAGCAAGGACCCAAACCACAAACTACAAAAGCAAATGAAATATATTCTCATTGAAGATCTGTGGCGACTCTGGGGACAACAGCGGAGCATGAAAGCAAGATGTGTGGGGCATTTTTAGATGTACAACAGGAAGGCAAGTGTTTGGGATGTAGTTGCGCTCATGAACCTGAGATAAATAATCACCATTTAGCACAAAGCTCTTCACCCACTTTGCCCTCCATGTAGAGTAATGTGCAAAAGTCTTGAGCCACTCCTCATTTATTCAGTTTGTGTTAGTAAAATGGGAAAGAGGAGCAATTTATTTAAACATGCAAAGGCAAAAAAATGGATTGTAAAAACATATTTTCTATATGATCATGGTTTTCTTCAGTACAGCCTGAACTTTCTTTTAATTTCTTTAAGTAGTGTTCAGAAATAGTTCTCTAAGGACATTCAAAGCTCTTCTTTGGAGCTTTGAAACCGTTATGCACCAGGCATGAGGAGCCTGGTGCATAACTGCATAAATGCACCAGGCATGAGGAGCCTGGTGCATAACTGGTAGTTTCCTACTCTGTGTTTTCTCTATTCAGGTAGGCTTTTACTACATTGGCAGTGTGTTTGGGATCTCTGTTAAACAATTAAGCTCTTTACAGATGGTATTAAATGATGGATCAAAGTCTGATGGCATTTTTCTTCCATTGTAATTCCATCAGTTTTGACAGGATCCCCAACACCACTGGCTGAAATGCAGCAATAAACCTTGACAAAGCCTCCACCGTGTTTTACAGATGACTGTATCTCTCTTGACCTCCTCTGTGCACATTGCTAATAATTTGAGGGAAAAACTTCAAATTTGAATTTATCACTCAGTCAGACCTGTTGTTACTGATTTCCAGTCCAGTTCTTGTGTCATTTGGCATACCTCAGTCTTTTCTCCCAGTTTCCCTTCCTTTATTTTGGCTTCTTGACAGTCACTGTTCCACTGAGATCATTTCTGATGAGGTGTCGGTTTTTTAAGGATATGACTTTTGACAAACTTTGAAATCCATCAGAAATCCTGGAAAACTGCTGCTCAAGAAAACTTCAACAAAAAATAGAAGAAAGTCTGCCTCCTTGTGCACAAAATATAAAGAAATGAGGAGCGATTTCAGACTTTTGCACAGTAGTGTAAATAGCTCTGATAAAAGCTTTAATGCCATATAATTTATGCAATGTTTTGCATGATTCTTTTCTACCTTCTTACAATAGTTTCATATAATCATTATATTTAAAAAAAAATGTAAGAACCAGAAAAAAGCAGAAAGTCTAACCATCGATTAAAGCTGTGAAATACCAACAGACACAGGCAGTGACATGCGAGAGTAAGAGGTGTGGCTTCGTGTTTTAATATTTTATTTTCCCTTCATTTTAATCCATTGGCAGTCTTGATTCCATTCCTTTTCACTGATTAATTTCAAAAAAGATAGTCTCTAAAAATATGGGGTAAAACGCATCTCATTTTCTTCCTTCTTCTTCCCGATTGCATTTGATGTCCACTCTGTACATATTGTATTAATAACAATAGTGCATCAGCCATAGTGCAAACCAAACTGACCGCATACGCTATCAGACAAGCTGCATTCTGGACCCCGAACCAGATCTCTTTAATCTCATTTACAAAGTTTCTGGGCTGAGGCGTTCACCCAGGGCTCAGGGCTATCAACAAATGTACAAAAGACTCACGGCGTTTCATTTCAGTGGTAGTTAGAACTACAAGAGAAATGATGAGATGGCAAGCTTAGCTTTTTTTTTTTTTTTTTTTGGCCACATTTAAAGACAGCTTTGTCTACAGGAGAGATTTGCAGAGGCAGGGCGTGTCAGGAGATGGATAGCTATAAATTCTTTTTTAAGCATAGTTTTAAATAAATCTTCATACATTGCATTTAACATTCAGTATATCTTGCACATATTTACAAATAGGTGTGCATACAGTTGGCTAGTGCTCATTTTTTTTTGTAGATACATGACATGTTAAATTCTTTCTGTGCTGCCTTTAGGGTGCGTGGCTGCAGCGCACAACAGGTTGTAGAAAGAGATGATCTGCTAGAGGTAAAAACCAGTGATGGGAGGAATGTTCAGGTGTACACAGACACAACTGCCCCATAACATTAATGTAAACACACACATTCTTACTTTCTTTAAAAACCTCTTACACCCATACATTCACTCCTGAGCAGACAGTTATAGTAAACTTCCTAAGCGTACAAACTTTGGGCCCAAAAGTGGTGAACACGCACAGACAGATATTGTGGAATGTATGTTGGTCGGTCTGTCTTCGAAAACACTAAGTTACGGTCTCTGCTGCTTCATATATATAATAGTTTTTTAATGATCCCAAAACCACAACACCTAGCTTCCTTTTTTTGTACCTGAAAACTTGAGGGTGTGGGAGATTGGTGGGAAGGTAGGATGCCTCAAGTTAAGACTCAAACTGCAATCCAGAACAAACAGCTTCTACGATCAGTCAGTCCTTACTCAGCCGTTCTTTGGAAAACATGCTAACAACAGTGTTCTTTTTTTTTTAAAAGTTATCTCAACGTTGCCAAATGTTGTAGATTAAAAACTACTTTCTGTCCATTTTAAGATGCACCTTGTCAACGTCTGGACCTCGGAGGAACTGTATCTTAGGTCCGTTTCCTTAAAGAAAAAAAGGAAACAATACAGCCCCTGTTACGTTATTTCAGTCTGTGTGCTAGTCCAGCATTTACCTGTGGACTCAAGTGACGGCCGGGTTAGTTTATGTGCAGGCAGGCATTGGAAAGACGTGTCTCATTTGGTCCACCGTTGATATGTTCTTGATCAGACTGTCCGAGACATGAGAAGAGGTACACAGACACCAAAGCACATTCGTATAGCCACTGGACTGGAGGAAGACCCCGGTGTCTCCCACGGGGAGAGCCACCTGCTCGCTCTAGGCGTGGCCTGGACGTAATCCTCAGTGGCCTGCTGGCAGCAGCCACATGAGTATGATTTGGCTGGTAAGGTGAGAGGAGCTCCACAGGTCCCAGGAGGACAGACGAAAGGAGCAGACGCGATCGTGGAGGAAACGATGCTCGGAAGAGGTTTTGGAGATATTGTGGGACAGTAGTGGAAGACCTATTTATTTTTTTTGTTCCCCTCTTCTTCAACGTGAAATGACACAGTGCGAGGAGGAAGACAGAAGTGGACAGGACACAGAGACAGAAAGACAGACAGATCTTATCCTCCACCAGATCTGAAAGACAAGTGAAATTTAAGCAATTATTAATATAGATATGCTGATATAGGTGATAGGAGATGACGATGAGAGAAGCTGCTTTGCTTTACTGTTTTGTAGCTGATGTAATAGGAATGATCTAAAGTATTTAAAGAAAAAAAACTAAAAAAGGAGAGAACTGAAATGGAAAGGATTGAATGAGTTCTGTGGAGATGATTTTCAGATGGTGGATTACTGTGTCAGCAGCCATGCGGAGCGAGTTTGGGATGAGATAGTGGGATATTTTTAGGATGCAGCTCTGTGTACAGATTACATGGTGACATATCATACCTTCCTCTTCGAATGTTCCTGCATCCCATGAGAACGCCAAGAGAGAAGACAAAATGTGAAGATATTTAAGTCAGTATTGATAAAAGAAATGAAGAACTCATGACACACAAACAAGAATTAATGTGCTTGGCAAGTTATAATTTTATGTAAAAAGCAAAGTAAGTAGCAAAGCAAGTAAACACAACTTAGAGTGGATTTTTTTAAAATGAGTTTCCTTTTCGTCAAACTGCCTCAAGTCAAGTCAGAATTAGCTACATCATGACTCAAACAATGACTCAATCCATTATTCATCTACCAGTCCTTCCCTAAATCTTCATCACATTGTAGTGATCACATCACATGCAGCAGGTCTACAGAAGTCTGCCACAGCTATGCCTGATAATATTACCCAGTAAGCCAGCAGTATGATTAGGAAGAGAAAACTTTGCTTATGGCTCATGCACACATGCACACATGCACAGACACTTCTGGCCCCAAAAGGACTGACTGCATTCTATAAACTAAGAATCACCTATTGCTTCTTAATTTACTGTTGTCTTTATAACAAAGAATTATCATATTATCTGTCAGTCTGTCTGTCTATTAGAGCAGCAGTAGTCCTTTTAGGTCAGACC